ATTAATCTCTAGAGAGAACCTAAAGATTTCACCAAACATATAGTCTGGGTCTTTTCAAGTGATTACATAGCAGAAAATGCTATTCTAAGAACCTGACTGCAAATATTTTTCTTATTTTAGTGATTTTCTAACAGCATAATATAATTTATCAAAGCGGTTTTATCCTAAAATCTGGTTTCCCCTGACCTGCACCAAGCTCCCACACATAAGTTTACCATGAAAATGCTCTGAGTCTGCTTTTGATCGGGAACAGAGGCTGATATTAGAAATCACAGCAATGACTCACTCTGCGACACGCGGACCAGCTCCGCCACGTTCCACACCCCTGAAGTCACAAAGCAGTCTTGGAAACTCAAGTGGCCTGGGTAAAAAAGACGGAGAAAGACGAGTACATCAGGAGCGGATTGTCTGGGAGATACAAAACACCAAATATGGATGAAATTTCAAGCAACGCATGAGACGACACAATGGGTACAAAAAGGAAATGCTATACAGGCTGCTGCTGTGATCCAGCAGGGAAACATGTGTTTTCTATAAGATTAAAAACATGACATAATGTAACACATCTAATCAGGTCTGGATAAAATCTACAAACATACATCTATGTTGAATGACGTATTGCACGTTATCTATATGCAATGCTTTACAAAAGTATTCACACCCAATAATATACATCACATTTCAGGAGACAAACTGGAAACAGACAAAATATTAGATATTTTGTTGAAGTGGAAGGAAGATGACCTGTTTTGAGTAATTTAAAGTGACCCATGATGGATGTCAGAGTATAACAGCATAAGTATAAAATGATAGTAAGAGTAGAAACCTTTGATGGCAGTAGAGGAAATGCTGAATCTTGATTTTAACATTTACATGAATGCAATATTAATGCTGTTTTTACTTCTACAGGGTTTATACAGGAATGATTAACTCTAATTTGATGCTTTTTAATGCTTTTTTTTAATGCACTTAGAAATAATTTTTATGCCATCAACAAGTACCCATAACACAGCAAAGTCGTTCGTCATCTTTACCGTCAGTTCCTCGTTCTCCAGCCAATTTTGTTCAAACGTCCATTTTCCCATTCTCTTGTTTTTTCTCCGCCTCAAGCTCCTTTTACAAACATTTCGGAACAAGTAGTTCCACGCAAATACACAGAACCAGTTATATCTAATATAATATATCTGACCACATTTTTTTTAATAAAAAAATCTTTTTTTAAATAAAGCATTTTAAATGTCATGATAATCAGATTTAATGAATTTTAATGCCTATTAGGGCCTTAATTTAAAAAATAATTTTATGACCTTTAATGTTTTTTAATGACTTACGAAAACCCTGTTTAAACGTTAATGAAACATTATGGCATTAGCATCGCGGAGCGTCAGGAGACCCAGCAGCAAAAATTTAGAGGATTGGGAGAACAGCATTTGGAGCGCTCTAGTATCCAAGATGGCGGATGCCGGAGATGGTAAATCTGTACTTTTGCAGTTGGACGCTGAGCGCCAACCAGCTAGAGAAGCTGATTCAGTCTGGGACAAAGACACGACACCCCAGCTGTGATCTCTGTTTCTGCAGAGCTGTCAGCATAAAGCAATGAAAAATGCATCCATACAACAGTAATTGCATTGATAGTAATTAATTTGCATTGTTAAGGAAACACTGTAAGACTTAAATTTAACACATAGTGCATTTGGTCCCACTCTGATTTAGTGTTAGATTAAACTCTACATAGTTTATATCTTACTCCAGTTATTGTAATAAGTATAAAAAAATGAATGTACTCTGACACTGAATATTTAAAGTCGTAGGGAAGCGGCTGTTCCAACCGTTGCATTTCCGAATTCTCCCGAGTGGTGCATGACTTTACACGAGTGAATAAAGTGAATGTGATTGGTCATTTATCAAGGGGGCGGGATTATTGTGGCGGAAAGTTCACAAGCAAGTTTAATTGTGGCAGGATTGTCGGAAGCATCTTGCTAACCAGTTAGCAACTTAGTGCTAGTAGGTTCCCAATGGGAAATTCCATTGGGACCAAGTAGCACTAAATTGGTGACTCAGAAACGACGCTGTCAAGGAACGCTATGGACAGAGGAAACATGCAAGAGGAGGAGAGTTTAGTGTCGGAGGTCGTGGATGAGTCTCCTCCGTCATACATTTTTGGAAAGCGGGGACGAAGATGTTTTGGAAGAGGACGCCAGGGCGGCAGAAGCTTGGTTTGGTGTATTTAGCTGTTTTTAAATAGAAATTTTCTAAATTTTGGGACAATATCGTCTGATAAAGAGTAGATTTATATACATGTTTAAGCCAGAATGATTTGACATTTAAATATGGTTTCCCTACGACTTTAACACTGTGGAATTTACTGTGTATAAATGGGTTTAACTCCACTGGTTTTACCTAAAAAGCCAGAATAATAGATTTGCATGTACTGAGAAAAGTTGTTCTGATTATTGTTGGGCCACTAAAATATTTTTACTAAACTGTGGTGAAACAGTTAATAAATACCTACACTGACGAAAAATGTCAAGACCTGTCAGTAGAAAATGCTCAATTTTATATTATGGGACTTGCAGTTTTTACCACAGTCCTATAAAACAGACTCCCTGCATCTGACTGCACTGATGGTGTTTAGATGTGGACTGTATTGCTTAAAAAAAAAAAATAGTTAAACTACTTTTTTCAAACTCATCAAAGCAGATAACGCCAAGAAACAAAGCAGCTCAACAACTGGAGCGCCGAGCATACAGAGCATCTGACACGCGTCCAAGTGGAGATGCTTCATGGCATTACTTGATGTGAACACTTTGTAACTTAGGGTTCTGGCCAGCGTATTTTCATCTAGTGAGCCGCTACGCTGAAATTAGGCTGATAAGCTCACCTCTTATAAGCATATCGGCCCTTAAATGGCACCTTGGTGCCCTCCTACATGGTTCTTTCCAGCGCACACTGCAAAAACTATCTAAAAATTAGTACAAATTTCTTAAATCAAGTGTATCTACTCTTAATTTAAGTATGTAAATAAAATGATTTGCCAATGGAATGAGTATTTTTACTCTTAAAATAAGATAATAAGATAATATGCACTTGAAATAAGACAATATAATATTTTTTTTCTTATTTTAAAAGTAAATTGCCTTCTTCCATTGGCAGTTTCTCACTTACCACCGTAATTCAAGAAAAAAAGCACTTATTTTAAGAAAAATAGGACTTATGGAGATTTACATTTTTTTGCAGTGCATTTGATCATAACTGTTATGTTATGTTGAAAGTCGTCAAAATGACTCTTAAATTAGGCCAATATAGTGAATTGCAATAAGCGTGACAACTTATATGTGTTTTTTAACACATTTACCTCATTGTTTGAAAATAAGGGTGAGAAAAGGGCTCCCAACTTATCAGCGGACAGAGAGAAACCTGTTGGATGTCCAAGCTTGGAAGGATTTCCAAAAAACTGGTCTGTCAAGCCGAACTGACCGATGGTCTCCGTGATTTTTTTTTTGTCCACCCAATAAAACGCAGCATCATTGCTGTGCCTCCCTGTGTCACACATATCGGCTGCAGGTGGATCAGCTGGACTCACTAAATATATCTGATATGAACATCTGTCAGGATGGAGAAAAAGTCAAAAGATATGGATGCAGCAGGGCTGTTTTTTCTATTATGAAAGTAATAAATTCTCTTTTGCATTTTTTAAGAGGTCTGCTCTGCAGGGGTTAATTGAGTTTGCATAGTGTTTATCTTAGCAATGGCAATCTCATCACAATTAATCTGAATTAATTACTTTATCTTAGGTTTACACAAAAAAGCGCATACCAGTAATATTAGTATTCAATAGTTCTGATAAGTTGTCATGCTATAAAATATATAAAATATTTTTTACAGATTACTTTAATAATTTGCATGGAAAACTTTGTACTCCATCCATCTCTATAGTTATGCTGCTATAGGCTTAGGATGCTGGAGGACATAGGGTCCACGTTTCATCATTCTTCTTCACTCTGTTATAAATTTCTATGTAAATGATTCATTTATTCAACCCCTAACGTTTAGTTCTCTCTGCCTTTTCACATCTAAGTAGCCTCATCTTGCCTGGACCTGTTAAGCTGTGACACCGTACTAAAGGGAAATATTAGCTGCCATCTACACTTTCCAATATGGATAACAGAGTTAGGCCTGCTTTTCAGTGCTTAGTCCTGCTTCTCTCCTAGACACAGCTATGGGCTCAGTTTTTAGCTTGACAAACACTAAAAGCTGAGCCCATAGCTATGGCTTTGATGATCAGACGTTCATCATCCATCTTCAAGAGCCAAATGCTGAAGTGTGTGTTCCCAGACAAATCTGTCTGATGATGGACCTAAGTGGAAATCATGTTGAGTTTCCCCTGCTATCAGAGCTTTTAGTTTGTATTTCGTCTGAAATTGCTTCTGAATAGTTAGGTAGTCTGACTAAAATAAAACTGAGGTCTTGGTCCTAGAAAAAAATCATATCAGGTGTGTTCATTCCCATTCACTCTCAATGTGTGCCACAACCTCTTACGAAACAATTTTCAGTCTGAAAAATTGTATTCAGGGTGCTCAAGGCTTAACTGTATGTGCTTTCATCCCTTTGACATGAATACTGCCCCTGAGCTCGTCTGTGTAACTCTTTCTTTAAGAGACAAAACCATCTATGGGTCTAATTTATTTACTGTTGCCTTTTCTAACATAGAAAGTATTTATAGATAAGTTCTTCTATGTTCCCTTTGTGTGCTTCTGTCTCCCTGAACCCCAGTCGGCCTCGGCAGATGGCCGCTCACACTGAGCCTGGTTCTGCTGGAGGTTTTTTCCTGTTAAAAGGGAGTTTTCCTCTCTACTGTCAATACATGCATGCTCTGTGTGAGGGATTGCTGTAGAGTCACAACAAAATGCAAGTCAATATCTACTGTCACCACATGCTCATGCTTTTATAAAAAATGGGTTTCTATTAAAGGTTAGACTGTGGTTTGTTAAAGTAATTTTTAAATAAAAAACAAAGAACTGACAAAGATTAGATTTTTTTTTACAGATTACGTTAATAATTTCCATTTAAAAACCTATTATAACGTTTTTTTAGTCAATCTTTTAGTTCATTTAGTTATGCTGCTATAGGCTTAAGCTGCTGGAGGACATAGGGTCTACTTTTCATGACTCTGCTTCATTTTATCTTTAATATAAAATTTTATGCACATTATTCTTTAATTCAACCCTAACTTTTTTTTTTTTTTCTTTTTTTTTAGGTGTTACGGCGCTAGTGGCTCGTTTTTGTGACAGTAGGCTGACAGGAAAAAGCATATGAGAGAGGGGGAGAGACATGCGGCGAAGGACCACAGGCCGGATTCAAACCCGGGTCGGTGCCGCCTTGAGGACTAAGGCCTCCGTACATGGGTCGTGCGCACTAACCACTGCCCCACCTGCCCGCTCATCAACTGAAACTTTTTGTTCTATTATCTTAATATCATTATCTTCTTTTTCTAAATCTGAAATGATATTCCTTCTTTTGTTCACATTCAGGATTACATGATTGTTTCATATAATTTAGGTGTTTCCTAGAAAACAGACGCACCAATATTCATTCAATCCCCATTTTATTTCCATTCATGAGATAAAATATGTAGAAAAATTCTGGAAAAAATTGTTCATGAACTTAGAAATTCCTTCATCTTCCACCAGGACTTGTTTTTGACTTTTTCTTACTTTTGTTACACTTTGATGAACTACATGAATTTGTCTTTGACTTAGGAACACTGTTTTATTGTTTTGAACGTTAGAAGATCTGCTTCCAGCTTCAGACTTGGTCATGTTTCACCAAAATTAAGAAAATAATTATGTCTGTGCTCAGTGAGAGGCTGATCCATGTGAGATTTGAAGTGCATTAGGAAGGAGGCCTTCATTGCTCTCCCCCTCCTCTTTTTTTATTTTATCCTTCACTTATACTGTCCATCACTTTTTTTTCTGTTTTCTTGATCCGGCCCCCCATTCTTCCTCCCTCTCTTAGTACCTTGTCCCGGGGTTAACCGCAGCAGGGACGAGGCATGAGGTCAGCGCTCAGCTCGGCGGCGACCATGTGGTTCCCATCTTCCAATAACATCCCTGTGATTTATGAGCGCCCCACCGCAAACCGAGCGCAGCCCCTTCCACGGTACAGTACCATCGACTTTCTTTACCATAATAAACTGGTCCCAAATCTCCTCCGACAAAGGTGGGAGGTGTGCAAGCATGTGTCTGCCTTTTTAACGTCTAAATAGTTTGCACGTGAAGGTTTGATTAAGAGCAGTGCGCTTACCATTAGCCGGGGGTTTGACGTCTGTGTCTCCTTGCTGGTTTGAACTGTCTGATTGTCCTGATTGTTCTGAGAAAAGAGAAACAGAGAGAAATGCCAGGTAAGTTTGTCGGTTTCTACCAAGGTTAAGGCCGGCGGCTCTCATCAAAGACTCGACAGGAAATATCATCCTCAGATTAAAAATAAAAAAGAAGCAGATTTCCACCTGAGCCGAATTTCTGCTCAAAGTCAAATCGATGCCAAAACTCCGTCAAGTCTCTGCTTCTGGAGTCCGTCTATAATAAGGAAGTTAGACTTTTTATAGAAGTGTTTAAGCTCACTTTTCTCACATCGCAGGAGAGAAAAACACCTATGAAAATATAGACACACTAGTGTAGGAGTGAGAGGATGGTTGAAAGAATGTCGACCTTCTGGGTGTTGCTTAGATCACGGCAACCTTTACAATCCTAACAGCCTTTATTCCACTTCCTCAAATTTAAAATAAAGTTTTATGAAGTTGAAAAATGTTTACTAATTATCTGTTTTATGAAATGTTTTCATCCCAGGACAGTTTTTTTTCTGTTCAGTTCTTAAAACCTTAATCATACATCTTTTTTTTATTTTTTATATTCTTTATTTAAAAAAAAAGAGGAAGAAAAAATATTTTTGATGCCTTATGAACTTAGTAGGATTACCATAATTTACTGTCGACATTTAATTCAAATTGTTCACTAAACATAAAACCTTTAAAAATGACCATTTTACAGTTGAAGCCACGGCCATCTTCTCTACGTCTATTCGTTTGACTAGTTCTAGTCTTTTAAAAAATATTTTGAAATTTTACATTTCTTTTTTTAGAATTGTGAAATTTAAGCCTAAAAATTTGGTGGAAAACTCCTTCTTTTAAGCTCTTTTACAGAACCGATGGTTTGGATAACGTTTTTTTGAAGCGCAACTTTTTTTTGAAACTTAAAAAGGATCCGAAAAATGTACTCTACTACTTATCTAAACCCTGGGATGGTTCACTCGCAGCAAACAGCAAAAAGTAAAATACAAATAAGAACATTAAAAAAAAGGTGTTTTTTCCCCATTTTAAGGACATTTGGAATAAGATGATTTAAATCTAAAATAAGAAAAAACAACTTTATTATCTTATTTCTAGTACATAACATTTAAGCATATTATTTTTAAGGGTAAAAATATTCATTTCATTGGCAGATACAGATTTAGATTATGGGTCCCCGTGCATCCAGTGCAGAGGGTTGGACGAAAGAGGGACAAATTTAGTAGAAAACAAAGTCTACCAAAAGATGATGGAGATGTTTGAAATATTTAGAGGAAGGACGAAGGAATAGCTGAGTTATTGGCGGAAAAGGAAAGCAGCTCATTGGTTCTGATCAATCTCAGACCAAACATGCTTTGCTTCCCTCTCCATCAACACCACCTCCAAGACAACTGCATGACATTGTTTAGCCCTGGTTTTAAAAAATGTTTTCATGAAAGCAAACCGGACCAATCGTAGGATTTCACTTTTCTCACTCGTCCATCTAACCAAGTCTAAAGGCTGATTTATACTCAGAATCCATCGTGTGTCTGAACGCAGATATGCCCCCTGCCACAGAGACTCTGCTGCACCTCCCCAAAATAGTAGGTGACCACAGAAAGGAGGCCTCTGATTGGTCAAATCTACATACGCTCTACACTATGCATATTTCCTGCTTGGTACCTTGCCAGCTTGTTTTGTTTGTATGACCGCCTTTGTGGAAAACGACTCGTGAAGACGCTGGGACCCTTTTTCCACCTGGATTCCTGCTCTTTTTAGCCCTCATGTCCCTCCGTTGTTGCACAATCTTGCCCCCACTTCCTCACCGCCTCGGCCGTATCTAGACCCACAGCTAGTTCCTGATTGTCCCTCTTGCTTCGTGGCGTGGAATAACATAACGCAGACCACGCTTCAATATTGGGCATAAATCAAAAATGTCTGCAACAAGCTCACTGCAACGCACTGCTGCAGGAGGATAACCAGCCGTTTACAATCTTACATCTCCTAAAGAAGTCATTTTCCTCAGAAATCTTAAAAGATAAATTCATCTAACAGAATCTGCTCTTTTTGTAGAAACCAGGATCTAAAAGACATTCTGGTAGATATAAGATTGGATAGATGGCAGATTTATCTTGTGGATATAACAGGAATGGTCTCATGCATGCATTTTTTTTCCTATTTCCATTCAGTAAAAGAGGTATTTTACAGAGCCACGCGTGGCTCGAGGTTACAGACCTTCCTTCACTCTATCTTTTTTTAATGAACCCAGCTGAGATTGAACAGCAGTACATTTTCTGGCTCTGACGCAAACTTTTCCCACTAAAGGCCTTCCACAGAGCTGCCAACTTGTGAGGTGTGCGTTTTCATATTTAGGGTCTAATTTAGGTTGAACCTCCTGTGCGAGTCGACCTCACCGTCTATGGGGGGGGGCATGCAGGAGTACATGAACTGCCTACTTCAGCGGGTTTTCTTTGGCCTGAGTGTTGTTGTTCTTCCTCTGATGTGTTGTATCATATATAGTGTTTAGGCCAATTACCCCACAGTGCCTGGGGTTTTAAGAGCACATTGAGCCAACATTTCTTAGGCAGAGCGTGACCCCCCCGCCCCCCTCCAGCCATAGTCAGGCCTCTCAACATCCCCTAAGCCTAAATCAGAGTCCTAATCTTGGGTGGCAACAGAACATGCCAACAAACTGCTGCACCATTCAGCCAGTCCGCTGGTTGCCAAAACCAAACAAAAGGAGACACGATATCACCTCATCGTTCGACGGGCAAACGGATTATGAGGTCTTTTCTTTTCTAAAAACACTCCTGTCTCGTTCTACGGCATCGAGGCCAACCCTCAGGTCTTTTTTCCCCCCCCTCCATAACGTCTCTCACACTTGTCGTGTCTCTGATCCTGTGTCTCTCCCGCACCGCCGCTCCGTGGAATCCTGGCAGCCATCTTAGCGCTTGGCAGCCATTTTAGATTTGGCGGTACCCGTGCATTCCTGCTAGCTGACAGCACGCACACACATAAAACACACACAGTCACACGCTTAGCTCACTCTCTCTCTCTTGCACACAGAGCCCCAATGGTCTTAAAGATAAAAAGACCTAAAGAGGATATGCAATGCTAATGGAGACAGGGTAAAAACCGCTGGGACGGATCTCTGCGGTCCTCTGCACTTATAGAAGGCAGTCAAGTTGATCAGGGGAGGCAGGTCTACTTAAAATGGTAAAAAGAGGTGTGTGAAAAGCAAATAATTTTGTTGCTCTTGCAGGATTATTTAAAAAAAATCCAGACTACAGAAGCTCAACCCCAACAAACCTGATGGTACATCTCTCTGTATGCAAAAACTATCTCCATGCAAGCCAAAAATCAGTGCCGGGTTGTCACGACAACCCTGATGGCACCATACACTTTCAAGTCCCCTAATGATGAGTGGTTGTTGAGGCCCGCATGCGCGTCTGCGCCGCTCTTTGGCCTTGCAATTAGTTGAAATGGAGATAATAATATAGCTCACTGGCACCGGCTCAACGTGTTGTTTTGTTTAAGATCTCTTGGCACCGAACGGACCGGGAGCTCTGTGTGCTACACTATCACGAGGTGGACTTTATTGCTATATGAGTTGTTTTCCATTTGAGGGTCTTAAAACTGCTCTAGTTATAAATCAAACATCCTAACTGAGCTCTCTAAACTTCTCTGCCTCCCTCGGCAGCGTGTTAGAAGACTAAACCCTGGGTTTCCAAAGGCAATTCTACTCATAAGCTACCAAAGAAGTGTACCAAAGTTTGATCAATCCAAAGTTGTGATCAATCATCCAGATCATTTCTTCCAAACTTTACATTAGTCACTGGGTTTTAATGGTTTCTCCATCTTAGAATAACATAGTTACTACTTGTTGTTGATTTTTATACAAAGGAAACGACAGTTCAGTGAGGTCATTTGTTCCCTCGAATGGTTTCATAACATGAATGAGATCCAGATATTTTACTTTCCAGAATAAAAATAAAAATGAGTCCTAATTCTCCTCATTGAGGCAAGTAGGGCACCTAACAGACTTAGGAAGATGTACTGAGTCTAAACAAGAGAAATATTAGAGGATAGGTAAGGTCTTAAAAAGATGCTTCTTCCCCTGTTGTGGTTCATATTAAACCTTTATGCCATTTTACAAAGCGGTAATTAAATGTCTGTCAGATGCTTTGATCCAAATATTACAAGTTATAGGTTTTTAGTTCAAAGGTATGGTAGGTAAGGGGTGTACCATGTGGCTGCTGGAATTATACAATGTCCAGGACCTGCATGCCTACCTTACAGGGACAACACAGGGTAACAGGATTGAGTGTTTTAGTAGTAATGTGGAACCCTAAATATATCCTCTGATGGACTGAGATGGGAGCAGCT